GAGGCCCGCGCTGGGGCGAGAACGCCATCCTGAACGACGGAGGCCAAACACCGATCCGAAAATGAGGCCCACGCTGCAGCGGGAGCACGATTCGGAACGATTCGGGAGCAGAAATGAGGCCGGCGCCTCAGCGAGAGCAGCATTTAGAAAAAAAACGCAGGCGAAAACCCGTTTCCCGGGAATCCTGTGTGTAAAAAACAGTACGCGGGGGGGGTCGGCCATCTTCGGGACGCCATCAGGGGAAGTGGGAGAGTATTTTCATATTGTGTAATTGTGGAGGAGGAGGAGGAGGAGGAGGAGGAGAGGGGAGGAGGGGGGGCCCGCACCGGCTCCACGGGCCCGTCTCCCAGGGCCGCGCGGGAGCTCCGTGCGCTGGGCAACGGCGAGCCCCGCCGCGGGCCTCGCGGGCAGAGGCGCGGCCTGCCCCGGGGGGCGAGCGCGGCAGGGCGCGGGCACGACGTGCAGAGGCCGCGCGGGGCACATCCTCGAGGGAGGAGGAGGAGGAGGAGGAGGAGGAGGAGGAGGAGGAGGAGGAGGAGGAGGAGGAGGAGGAGGAGGAGGAGGAGGAGGAGGAGGAGGAGGAGGAGCGAGGAGGAGGAGGAGGCGGAGGAGGAGGAGGAGGAGGAGGCGGAGGAGGAGGAGGAGGCGGAGGAGGAGGACCCCCTCCCCCTCCAACTTCTGGTGGTGGTGGAAAACGTGCCCAATGCGCGCGCGGGGGCACGACGTGCAGAGGCCGTTCGGGGCACATCCTCGGGCCACCGCTTGGAAGCTGGGCGAAGGCCGGCACTGCTGAGACGGTCGTCCCGGAAGAAGAAAACGGATGCCCGGAAGCAGGCGCAGCGCACCAAATTCGGGGATCTTCTGACCCGGGTCAATCCAGACCGGGTTCGCAAGAAACCAAGAACTGCAATGCAAGAAAACAAAAACTGCAACGCAGGTCTTCGCAAACCCGGGTCAGCCAATATGCGCGGCCGCCTCGCGGCCACGAGCGGCTCGCTAACCCGGGTCAGCCAGAGGGGGTCTTCGCAGGATCCTGCAGGATCTGGTGCCCAGGCTGACCCCCGTTTGCATCGACCCCCTGACTCAAGGCTCCCGACAAATAGTGAACGGGCTGCTTCCCGGAAGAAAATACAATTTCTGGCAGCTCCGTTTTAGCAGCCACGGGTTTGCCAGCCGTCGCCCGGCTTCTGAACATCCTCGAACCCACACGCTGCACAGTCACCGTGCTGCAGTCGGTTGGCACGCATCATGCTGAGGGCAGTCTCTGACCTCGGAGGCCCCTGAGTGCTGACGACCCCGGCCTTCCGCGCGGCTTTTGCGCCACGTGGGCTTTTTTTAGGTCGGGCACGTCCTCCTACAGGCGGTGTTTGGAAGAAACATCCCCAGATGTTTTTTGGGATAATTTTGAATATTCTTCCTGTAAGAGGGACATGCCCGACTTAACCCAAGAACCGCCCACGCCAGCGGCGCCGCCACGTCGAGGCGGCGAGGAACATTCCCTGGACGTGCTCCGGTGCTCCTCGGCCTCCAGGGAGGACTCGAGCGTCCCTTCGGTGGCATCGGCCACCCGATAACGCGCCTTACAGAAAAGAAGAACCAAGCTTTTGGCGCTCCGCGCGGGTTTCTTGGATCTGCGCTGAGCCCCCCTCCCTGGCGCGCGGAGCGCGTCAGGGGCGGCGCCGGAGGCGCCACCAGGGGGCCCCAGCGCGGATCCAAGAAATCCGCGCGGAGCGCCAAAAGTTTATCTGTATGCCGCTTGTTTCTTCGATTACAGACACCATCGCAGCTCGCGCCTGGCCAAGCACGGTCCAGGCCAGGATTGGGGGGCCTGAAGACGGGCCTTTTGCTGACTGGTGCGGCGTGGTGCGCCTCGCTCCACTGCTGGATTTTCGGGGAAACTCACCGACTTCCTCGTCGCCCAGGTGCACCAGATTCCCATCGTCCGATGCTTTTGGCCACATGTTGGGCACGACGCGGCGAACCTCGGCGATCTTTCATTCACGGGTGGCCTTCATAATCCCATAGACAGCAGGCTGGCGCCTCCCACACAAAACCACATGCTTTGACCAAGGTGCCGATCTTTGCATTGGCACTCCCGATCCCTCATGATGGCCCCCCCAAATCACCCTTCTGCCTCCTGGGAAGGAGGGAAGACGAGACATAAGGCGGGAACAGGAGGGAGGAGGCAGAGGGGGAGGAGGAAGAGGAGGAGGAGGAGGAGGACCAGTGGAAACCCAAGAGATACCAACGATGTTGGAGAACACCCTCCCTCCAAGATCCCTCTTCATAGGCCCCTACAACGGTTCATTTCTACTGAGGGAACTGCCTCGTCGGAAGACAACCTCTCAAAGACCCTGGAGCATGCCAAGACATTGTTCTCGGGATTCTAACGCCACGGATCAACCTGACTGTTGCGTCGTGGCGATCTTGAACCGTGCCAGAACACCATTCTTGGGATTTCAACATCGCGAGCCAACGCAAATGTTGCGCCCCCATAGCCCTGAATCCTTCCAAAACGCCGTTCCTGGTTTGTTTCCCATGGGAATCCGTGATACCCTTTCAACTTTTCTAGGCGGATGTGCGCGGCGCTAAAGCGAGAACCACAGTTTGAGAAAGAGCCACCCTCCATCTGCGAAGCTCTTCCAAAGTTTTAGAAACGAATGTGCGCAGCGCTAAGGCGAGAGCCACCTTCTTTTGAAAACGACCCGCCTTCTTGCAAATTCAAAAAAACAAATGTGCGCAACGCGAATGCGAGAACCGCATTTTGAAAACGACCCGCCCTCCATGTGTGAAACTCTTTCACATGTTTACAACACATGTGCGTGGCGCTAAAGCGAGAGCCACATTTTGAAAACGACCCGCCCTCCATCTGTGAAGCTGTTGTCATGTTTTGCGCTTCAGGGTCATAAGCGGTGAGGAATTCCCAGCCCAGCCCGCCCAAAGCGACAGGGAGAAATTATTGGGGGACACAGAGAACACGGAGGCGCAGAAGCAAGCGCAACAACACGTGGAAGAGCATCGGCATGGACGCGGGAACGAACGAAGAACGGAAGTGGGAGGGAGCATGAACGGACGAGGGAGGGAGAGGACGAGGGAACGGAAGTGGGCGGGAGCAGGAGGGGACGAGGAGGGGGACGAGGGACATTTGCTGTTTTCAGGCAGCGGCCATTACCCGGGAAAGCGGGTCGGTTGGGGGGTGGGGCCCAGGGTAACAATAATGCTTGGACGGGGTGAGCGCGTCCGTGAGGGGGTGTGCTTCGAACGGTATAGTGCGCGCACGGATACCAGCATCTTAGCTGCCCCCACACGCAACACGCAAAACACGTGGCGTATTGATACGGAGCTGAACACGAGAGTGATAACCCAGGTCTGATGCGATATGTTCTCCAAAACCTGGGCCAAAACGTGGTGAACCAACACGCTCGGTGTTAACACAGACGTTTTGAACACGGAACGTGTAGCGTTTCAGCCCTGGCGCACGAGAGCAACTGTAGGACCAACATTGTTACTCCTGCCAGGGGGTGGAGGATGGCATAGCGACCCTTACACGCCATAGTGCCAAACAGCAATCTCGGGAGGCGGAGGAGGACCCGAGGCGGACGAGGAGGATGACGAGGGCCAGAACCAGCAGCACGGGCCATGTCGGGCCATGTCAGCACAGGCCTCCGCGTGGGCGTGCCGGGGCCACCGACGCGCGGCGGTGGGCGGCCCGGGCGGCCGCGGACCTCGGGCCTGTCTCAGGGTGGTCCGCGAAAGGAACGCGCCGCCTGCTCACTTCTCTCCAACCCTGATGTGATCACACACACACCATGGGCGAAAGCCCCTGGGGGGGGGGGGGGGGGGATGGCAGCATCCCGTTCGGATGTAAGCGCGAAAGGGACGCGCAGCCTGCTCACTTCTCGCCAACCCTGATTTGATCACACACACACACCATGGGCGAACGCCCCCGGTGAGGAGGCACCAACTATACACCAACACCGATCCTGGCCAGGATCGCCCTGGGCCCAGGATCGGTGTATACGCCCTCCTGCCTTGCGCAAGAAGGCATATACACCGATCCTGGGCCAGGATCGGTGTTGGTGTATAGTTGGTGCCCTCCGACCTGGGGGGGGTGAATGGCAGCATCCCGTTCGGATGTATAAGTCCCAGCGGCGTCCTCGTCGGGAGGAGCGGGGCTCGGCTGCCCTGGCACGCCACGCGCAGCTCCTGGCGCGTCGGCAACGGAGCTCCGCGCGCAGATTTTGAGGGCCTGCGCTCGGCGCGATACGTTCGCCAAAACGCCGGCCAGCACGTGGCAAGCCAACACGCAGCACGTCGACACGGACGTTCTTGAACACGGCACGTGCTGCGCTTCAACGCGGGCGTATCAAGGCAGCTAGTACCGTTGCCCGGGGGAGGGGGCTGGCTCGACCCGGGCAACCACCACTACGCGCCAGAGGACCAAACAGTACCCTTAGGAGAAGGAGGAGGAGGACGAGGACGGGGACGGGGCCGAGGACGAGGAGGACGAGGAGGCAGAGGAGGACGAGGGCGAAGAGGCGGACGGAGTGTTGCGCTTCCGCGCGGGTGTGTCAGGGCAAGGGCAGCTGTTGGGGAAGCCAGAAAATACCGATACCGCCTCTCCCGGTGCGTTCTGACCAGAACTTCGGGGCGAATCCAACGGTGGCGACGAGGGCCTCCGAGGAGGCCGAACAGGGGGAAAACGGGCGAAGGGTAGCGGTATGGGTACACGTCGTTCATTTCTAATCGTGCTCATTTCTAAGTGTGCTCGTTTCTAATTGTTCCTGGCCCCCTAGTGGCCAGGAAGAGGTCCAGGATAGAACAATTAGAAATGAAAGGATCTTGGACCCCCAACAAAAATCAAAGAACTTTCGAATGCTTAGAAATGCACAATGTGTACCTCTTCCTCCTCTGAGCTGTGGAGCGGGGGCACCGAGGAGGCAGGCGCCGCCGCCTGGCCGCAGGGCCGCCGCCCCCCCCCCCCCTCCCCCCGAGAGGGCCAGGTACGGGTTGCCCGGGAGGAAGCGGTGCAGGGCGGTCACGCCGCCGCCCCCGAGCGCGGCGGCAGGGCCCTGCCCGCGCGCACAGGTTTCGGGCTGCTGCTCCTCCTCCTCCTCCTCCTCCTCCTCCTCCTCCTCCTCCTCCTCCTCCTCCTCCTCCTCCTCTTCATCCTTCTTCAACTCCTCCTCCTCTCCCTCCTCCTCCTCCTCCTCCTCGTCCTCCTCTTCCTTCTCCCCCTCCTCCCTCTTCCATCCCCCCTGCCCCTTTCCCTTCTGCTCCTCATCCCAGATCTCTGCAATAACAGGTCCTGCTTGCACAGGCCTATCCGAACCACACGACAGCCAAGAGGTCACGACGGATTCGCTGGATTGTTCATCGCCTCTGACAAGCGGCAACTCCTTCCACCCTCCTCCATTCCCCTGCTCTCAAGAGCAACAGTTGGGGGGACCAGCGGAGGGGGGAAACCTATACCCGAACCGCCGCCGATCGATCGGCGATAGGCCCCGATAGCGAAACCGCGCGTTCCTGGGCGGGCTGGGCTATGAAGCTCAGGCCCTCGTCCGCGATCGATGGGCGTTTGGAGGTCGATGCGTCCCCCTATGAGCCTATGCCCCCTAAGGTTGTCCCCTGGCTTTCGGGTCGGACCTCGGCTCCCTTGCGGACGTTCGGGACGCCCCCGGGCGCTCCTGGAACCCTGCCGGCGCGGCGCGGCGCGGCTGCGTCAGACCCTGCCGAGACTCGAGGCCGGAAGGCCGCCGAGGAGCGCCGAGAAGCCCCCCACCCCCCACGACCTCGAGCTCCGCGGCCTGTGGACCGCTATGGCTGCGCGCCCGCCGATTCCCGAGGGGGAGGAGGGAGGAGGGAGGAGGGAGGAGGGAGCAGGGAGGACGAGGCGGGAGGAGGGAGGGCCCCCCTCCGCCCACGAGGGGCCCCCCTCCGCCCACGAGGCCCCTCCGCCCCGCCGCGCCTCCGCGGCTCCACCCTCCGTCTGCCGCTTCCGCCCCATGGCCCGGCGGGGGGCGCCCGGCCGCGCCCCTTCATGTGGGGCGGCCGCCCGAAGCGGGGCCGCCGGGCGGCGCGCTCCGCGGTGCCAGCGACGCCCCTTGGAGGCTCGTGAATGGTGGGGGGAGGGGGAGGGGGTGGGCGATGATGATGATGATGATGATGATGATGATGATGATGATGATGAGGAGGAGGAGGAGGAGGAGGAGGAGGAGGAGGAGGAGGAGGAGGAGGAAGAGGAGAAGGAGGAATATGAGGAATAGTGATATGAGGAGGGGGAAAAGGAGGAGGATCAGGATGATGATGATGATGAGGAGGAGGAGGAGGAAGAGGAGGAGGAGGAATAGGAATAGGAAGAGGGGGTGGAGGAGAAGGAGGAAGGGGAGGAGGAGGAACAAGAGGAACAGGAGGAGGATAATAATAAAGAGGAGGAGGAGACAATTGAAACAGACTAGACATGACGATGTGAGGTGTAACAAACGATATTTTACAATGCAAGAAATAACGTTGCGTGCGAATAGTATGCGTAATATATGGGCGCGGACGCTGGCCAGCTTCTGTACCCTAGTCCGAACGCAATGGCGGACAGGGAGACAATTAACAGGGCAAGAGACAAGGGAAGGTTGGCAAGGTCCCGGATCTGGTGCTCAAGCGGAACTGTTGTGCCTCGCCAGCTTAAGCATGCAAGCCACACCCAAACCAGCGAAGCAACACCAAGCTAACAGCGCAACGAGAGAACCTTCTTCCCACCAAGAGCTGTATCTGACGCTCGTGAGAAAGCGAGAGAGAGAGAGAGAGAGAAAAAAAACACAAAAGCCTTCTACTGATCGGGCTCCGGATGAACAGTTGCGCGGCTGAGGCCTTCTGATGACCAGGCTTCAGCACAACGTTGCACTGATGCGGGGATGCTGCGTCAAAAAAATCCCTCCGCTGACCCGGCCCCTCGTAAGCAAATGCTAGGCGGCAACCGGCTCTGCTAGAGCACACAGTGGCTGGGTTGCACGATCGACTGCCAGGATATTTGCCGCCCCACCAGCACAGTTGATGGTGACAGCCCTTCTCACTCATAGTTTCGCTCTCCTTGCACTGTCAGCGGCCGTAGCGCATTCGCGCACATTTGCACGATCTGCGGGCCACTGCATTTTTATCTCCCCCTGATGGACTGTCTCGCTTTCGTTAACGCAGTGCGCGATCTGCGCGTCGGTCGTTGCATTCGCGAACACAGTCTGGCCATGCGACGACGAGTGGGTTACCAAGTAGCGTCGCCGCTGTCCCTGTTGAGGTCGCCGTGGCAGGGGTTCGGCACCGATTTCTTGTGCCGCTCTTTGCTTTGCGTCACTGTGGGGTGGTCGTAGACGAGCGTTCCCCTTCATGCTGTCGAGGATGACCTCTCGACCGATACTTGCCTTTGTCATGGGATCAGCCTTCATGTCGCGGGTGTCGCCCCACAAGATGTCGAATATTTGCTTGGTGCGAAGCTGGTCTGCTAGCCACCATGGGTGGTCAGACATACTACTCTTTGATGGCAGCTGCACGTGGTCCATGGGCAAAGCGGAGAAGACGAACATGCCGTCCACGACCAGCTCGGCCAGTACAGCGACGCATTCTTCCTCCCTGAACCCCGAGATCTTCTCTGCTGAGGCGGGTCCGCGCACAATCTCGAACAACGTCCATGGGTGCACCTGTAGACTATATGTTACCCCACATGCTGCGAGCAGCTCCGAGCCGAAGCATAATCGACTGGCGCGCTTGCGTGATCGGCTAGCAACGTCGAGCACACGGCAGATCTGCTCACCAGTAGTGCGGGACTTCCCCACACGCGTGCACGTATAAGGCGCTACGCATACCGTATCCTATCGCCTCCTCATGCTTGAACGAGTCGCCGCTGTGTGCGCAGACCTAGCTTGCGCACTCCATCGCCGGGAAAGTAATGTGCGCCTTGATCTTCTGCGTGGCCAGAACAAAGGAGTTCAGCTACATCACATGTCTGATGGGGAGCTCGTTCTTGGAACGCTGCAGCACGAGGATGTGGACGGCAACGGGGTGTTGCGTGAGCAACGCGTAGGCTGACCCGGGACAATCCAAACCCGGGTCAGTCAGGCCTTGCAGAATCCTGCAAGATCCTGCACCCAAACCTGGGTCAACGCGCAAGATCCTGGCAGATCCTGCAGGATCCTGCACCCACGCCCGGGTCAGTACGACCCTGGCCCTGCAGGATCCTGCAAGACCTGGCGCTCTGGCTGACCCCCGTTTGCATTGTTGGCGGCGCGCACAAATGGGGTGGAGGGATGGGGGGAGGGCTGCTTAGAAGGAGGCTGCTTCCTAGAAGGCGCCGGCTTACCTTTATACACAAGGGCCCGCGCCTCTTGTGAAGCAGGGGTGTTGCCACGAAGCCCTCCCCCAAGGCTCCCGACAGGAGGCTCGGGAGGGAGCCTCCGGCCGGCCCGTCGGCCTCTGGCTGAACCTGCCAGGTCGGCGCGCCTGCGGGGCCACGCGCGCACGGCCGCCGCGCGCTTGCCCGTCGAAGTCGTTTCCAAGATTAGGTGGTGGTCTTACCATGTCAGAACGCACGTGTTCAACCATCTGCTAATGTTGCTCCCAGCGTACTTAATAGAGGTCACCCCCCCATAATAACCACCCTGACACGCGAAGTCGCTTAGCAAACGCGCCCAAAGAAGGAGTCGAACAGGGCAAAGCTGTTTAGTAAACGACCAGGGCCGCTTAGAAAACGCCAAGTGTCCGGTCCAGGTGGTTTCCTCCCTTGACTTAAGGACCACATCCCAGAAATGATTTCGAGCACCCGGAAAAAAGTGTCGAAAGAGTGCTGGAACAGTGTCGAAACAGTGTCGGACGAGTGGCTCCCAGGGCCCGACACCTCGAGTTTCGGTAATTTGTGTGCTCGAACTTCTTCCTGGTGATCAAGGCAAAAATAGGCTGGAACATCATCACCATCTGCGATCCATCGATGGCTTTCGATTCACACATGTCGGCATGCTTGAAATATCATCACCCTCATCAGCACAATCGTTATCATCATCACCAGAGTCGTTATTGCGATCGCCAACATCATCCCCACCATCGTCGGGATCATCACCGCCGCGGTCATCGACGTCTTCGTCGATGTCGTCGTCTTCATCAAAGTTCTCCGCGCGGGCACTTCGCCACCACCATCACCAGAACCAGCGTTACCGCAATCGCCAACGTCATTGTTGCCTCATCGCTATCGCCACCATCAACAACATCATCGTCGTCGTCGGCGTACTCGTTGTCGTTCACATAGTCCTCACCGTCGTCATCAACATCACCAGTCGCCGTCGTTTACGTCGGCCAGTTTGGTTTTGCCAGCAGGTTTCGGGTGGGTGGGTGCGATGTCTCCGCGAGCGGTGGAGTTAATGATTTCAGCATTAACACATACATTGCACCATGTAGCGTGCACCATGTAGACTTCACAACAAAGACTGCACGACGTCTACTTCGTGCACCATATATACAAATATATACATACATACACTTATATCTATATATATATACATATATTGTACTACGTTGCTTCCACCACATACACTGCAGTGCGAAATCAGCTTGTGGCTCGTATATCGTGAAACGTAGGTTGCACCATGCATGTTGCAAACGCACGTTTGGCAAGTTTCGGCTTCTGGGGCCCCTTTTACTGGGTCCTGGGACCGCCAACAACGTGTGCCAGGATGAAGAAGTCATGGCCTGTTCCCAACAATGTCGGGAGAACGCAAAAATGGATTAGCGATCCATGGATTTGGAGCGCGGTCGCCAAATCCATGGATCGGGGAAGATGCCCTCCCCAAAATGCGGCTGAGCCGCCTCGCTCGGCGGTGGAGATCCACGATTGCCCAAAGAAACGGGGCCCGTCGCTCATCCACGCCCCCTTAGTCCATGTTTGCGCTCGCCTGACAAGAATGGGGGGGGGGAGGGCAAGAATAGGGGGGGGGTGGGGGGCAAAACAACGCAAAACGGGGGGGGGAAGGGGGGGGGCCAAAACAGCGCAAAACGACCGATACCGCTACTCCATGGTCCTCATCCAGGGCCTGCCGGGGCCAGAGCTTGGAGGCGAACCCCGCCGTGGCGACAAGGGAGGGGCAGCAGCATCCACGCCTCCCCCCCAGGGACAGGGTCCAGGCCTCCAGGCGAGGGGCGATGGGGCAGCGATCGAGGGGGCCCCCCTCAGGGAGAGACGCATCGATCTTGTTTCCTTGTTTTGTTGGCAAGGGGGGGCACATCGAGCCTGAATCGGCGACACGTCGTCGACAGCTCGGCGGTAGGCCCCCCACGGCGAATCCGCCCGCTCCTGGGCGGGCTGGGGCTATCAGAGCCAAATCGGCGATCCATGGGCGAGCCGGGCCCTCCCCCTTGAGAGCCTATGCCCCCCTATCGTTGCCCCTGAGGGGGGGTGCTCACGCCGCAGACAGATCACGACGTCGGGGCCCCTGGGCGATGTTGCCGCCGCTTCCCCGCGAGCACGCCAAGGTAAGGCCGGCACGCGCGCGCCTCAGCGCTCCCGCGGCGCCCCCGCGGCGCCGCTAGGCCGCCGCGTGGCCGCCTGCGCAGAGGTTCCCCTCCTGGCGGCTCCTGGTGCTGCTCTCGTGCCGCCCGTGAGGCCAACCGCTCCCTCTCCTCCACGCTCCTCCTCCTCCTCCTCCTCCTCCTCCTCCTCCTCCTCCTCCTCCTCCTCTTCCCCCTCCTCCGCGCTCCTCCTCCTCCTCCTCCCTCCTCCTCCTCCTCCTCCTCCTCCTGTCCTCCTCCTCGTCCTCCTCCCTCCTCCTCCTCCTCCTCTCCTCCTCCTCTCCTCCTCCCCCCCCCCCCCCCCCCCTCCTCCTCCTTCTCCTTCATCTCCTCCTCCTCCTGCTCCTGCTCCTCCTTCTGCTCCTCCTCCTCATGTTCCTCATTCTCCTCTTTTCCTCTTCCTGCGCCCTGCAGCGCCAAGGAATGGCACGCCGCCCCTCCTCGTGGCTCTTCTGGGTGCTGCTCGTGGTGCTCGGGGTGCTCGGCGCTCCTCCTGTGCCCTGCCGCGCCTAGGATAGCCCGCCTCCCCTCCTCGTGGCTCCCCCTGCTGCTCGTGCTGCGCGTGGTCCTCCCCCC